CCTTCAAATATGTTTTTATTTTTTTTATTATTAAGAAATTTGTCTGAGTAATAAAAAAAAAATTTACATATAAATTTGGCTCTCTGCTAAACTCATCTTCAGGTATAGCTTGCATTTCTCTTATCATCTTTTGAAATTTTTATCGAACTTTTTTATCTACTTCTCTTGACAAAAAATTCCACATTCGGTCTGTGTCATCTGGCAGTGGACCTACACTATTTCTATCTGATATTTTTTCAAATACTGGATGTAAATAATTTATTAATCCTTCTTCACTTTCTTGTGATGAATGCGTATTATCAGAAGATCTAGTTGCCAATATATTATGAATAATAGTATTATTCACTAATTTTTTTCATCTTTCTGTGCTTCTAACCATTTTTTCTCATCATCTTCTTTTACTTCAACTAGTTTCGCTTCAGATTTTGGCTGTGGATTAGCTACAAACTGTGTAGGTGGGAATGGTGCATTGTGTATGGGATATGGAGGTTTTTAGTAATTATTTTGGCATGGTTAGGTTAGGTTAGCAGTTCTGCCGCCACTAAGGAGAGTTGCTGCTATACCAGATGAAGCTACTGCTAATGCAATTTTACCTGAGGATCTAATTTGAGCCAACAACATATTAATTAGGAATGTTTTTCCTGTATCACCCGGAGCATCTAAAAAAAAAAAACTCTTCCTTGATGATTCATTACGCTTTCTGTAATAACATTAAAAGCATATTTTTGATCATTTACTAATTTTGGTAAATTGATTTCTACAAATTCTTGTAATCGGTTATTATCGTAAGAACGCAAAATTGAGAATTCAAAAGGATCAGATGCATTTTCATTTCGAACAGGTGAGTTCATTCCAAATTCAGTTAAATATTTTTCAGACAGACAAACAACTTTATCTTCTATTTCAATCAAACCTCTATTAAATATTTCATCTGAATAAATTAATTACTAGTCATCTAATCGAGTGCGCTCTGTATGAAGAATATCTTCACAAAAATAATTTCTGAACTGTTCCCACAAAGATTGAGGTTCAGACGGTTGGCAGAAAACTATGATTATTGCGAATAATTCTCTTAATTTTGAAGGACTTTCTGAAAGAGTTGCCTCCACCAGAGCATTTTTCCATTGCTCGTCATTTTCTAAAAGCCCAAGAGCAAAACAGGTAGCTTTAAAAGTCGCGTGAATGACTCCATCAAAGGCCTTCAAGTTTTCAAATGAAGTAGGACCTTGTACATAATTTAGTAACAATCTTAAATGGAAGCATTCACTTTGATTTGGGTGAATCGTGGTAAATTCTACCAATGGTAGTGTCCATTTTTATTCTTGGCCAACCTGGAACATCTTTTCCCCGTCTTCTCTTTAATTCATCGAATGTTTTAAATATAAGGGGGAAAAATAAATAGTTCGAATAAAAGAGAGATGAAAATGTTACATTTATTTTGACATTTATTAATTTACATCGATTTATTAAACACATTATTACATGTTAAGTACACATTAAATAAATATGTAGAGCAACATCTTTCTTTTGTCGCTGATCTACAAACATTAAGTGTTATTAGTCTTATACTTTATGAGCTCCATGTTCAAACTGACTAAGTTTTATTCGATTTCAACTATTTACCCATTTCAGATGTTTATTTTGGTAAAATTACACGATTCAAGTCTAGATTAGATACGTTAGGTAGTAAAAAAACTACCATTACATTTTATCGCCATCGTTATTAGTTTAATTGTGAGTACGTCAAATAGGTTGTATATGTACATGATATTTATAAATCGGGTTTAAAGAAATTCGAAATATAAAGATTCTGGCAAAAAAAAATTCGAATTGTAGCACCGACTACCATTTCGAATTATCGAGCCTCGATAATTGAGGAAACCGAAATACATGTCTTTTTTCTCGTTATAGAAGTTTTCTCATGGGACTAAGTGTTTAGTTCGATTTATGAAGTTTTTCAAATTATCAAGTGACTATTGTATATATCTCCCTGTTCTAAATATTAATCTTCATCTCCATCGCCTATTTGTGCCATACAATTTGTATACATCTAAGAGTATATAATATTCAATGTAAAATATACTTATACAGTAATAATATATGTGAACGTTTAAGGAAAATGAAAAATGCAATAGAAGTAACAAACGCAAACATCAAATGCATACATTATAAATATTAACTAAGGAGTTAAGTAAAATATCTAAATGAACCTAATTTAGCGCCTAGAAAAATTTCTAATTTAAAAATTATGCTTTATTTTATTTCATTAAGTTTCAAAAGCATTTTAAAATACGAAATAATACTTAAGCGAGTAAATACATCAAGTGTCAACTTCTATTCATAAAACACCAGTTGATGTTCATTTGAATAAAATGTTATCTTCATTTGCTTAGGGTTTAATTATAAAACCAATATTTACGACATAAATCTTTTTAATAAATAGTGCTATTTTTAATGATTTTATTTGATATTCGATTAATTAATGATATTTGATTAATTTAACTATGATAAAATAAAAAGCTATATAAGTGCATTTATGCTTAATATAACTTTATATAAGCAATATTAAAAATATCGTTATGTATACAAATAATGTTATTTCTAAATTACCAAATCAGTAACCAGTTAGCAACGAAAATCTTAAATGGAAAGACACATAATATTATTATATACTTATCATCTAAGTATTTGAAGGTATTTTCGTGAATGGACGAAATATAAAATTATTAAAAGTTGTCTTATTTTTGACTAGCCTTCGCTTTAGTTATGAAAATTCACGAAGCGTAATTAATTACATATTTTTATTAATTTATTAATTGCATATATTTTTATATCGAAAATGGAATATCTGAAAATTAGATTTACTCAGTTGTCGTTTTGTATAACATTACAAGTATTAATTAATATGTATTTTATATATATTTGGAATCACTAAATTATATTTAACTGTTATGCAACTATTTAGTTATAGCTTAAAATACGAGAAATAACGAGTAGATACCTATTTTAAAAAAGCTATCGTGTTTCATAACAAATATTTAAAATATCCAAGAACAATTGACAATTAATTTTTCTACTCCCCGTGTAAAATATAAATTGCTTTTTATTTTTTATGTTTTTTACCAAACGTGTTCATTATGATCGTTTCTGAACGTATGTACAATTTATCGTTAAGTAATTTATATACATATAAATTTACACCAACACATGTTCGTTGCTATTTCTTCTATTGTACACATTAGGTACATTTCAAAGGTTAATTTATATTATTTAAATATATTGATTCATACATTACACATAACATAATCGGTAGTGTATATGTATGGAACGTAATTCGATTTTTATATATTTCTTCACGGGTCATATGTGATAAACAAAATCGATAAACAGCGTTATTGCCTATATATTTATATATAATTGAATTAACACTACATGATGTTCGTATATGTTGTAGCAGACAAACAGGTACCATATTATGAACTAATTACATTCATAATATACAGCGGTGATTGAATTACTTTGAAGTATTTTTTCTAGGGTAAACGCCTGTGTATTACGTGCGTCCCTGGAGGGAGTGACCTAACCAGAATCACAGGATGCCACAGGATAAACGTAATCATCACGATGGCACAAAACGTATGTATATATAATATGCATATATTTATTGATAAGTCGTCGCTAGGTGGGGTACAGCGATAACCGGCGGCTAATTGGCCTAATTGGGTTTCCGGATGTGTTGCTTATACGAATCGCCAAAACACTATATCTGAATACGATTCACAACAACAAATACACGCCGGCCTTTGCGCGCGGCCCATAGATTAACTTGTCCCGGGCCGTGTGTTGTGCTCGACCGTCCAACGCCGTCGCCATCATGTCCGTCGCATCGTACGCCGTGGTAACGTTGATCGCCTTCGCGATCGTTTTCAACACAAATACCGGTAAGCAGCGTACTCGGATTTATTATACTAACATTTGCGTATCGTACAAGTTGTACGTTACGCTAGCTGACCCGGCGGAGGAGAAAACCGTTCGAATCGAAGTACAATGGATATGACTCGCGCGATCCGAACAATATTTATTATATCTGGCGCAATTATTGTAAACACGTTCTATCTTATTTTTCAAACATTTTAAAAGGACTCACAACACTGTTTTCTCTATCAATTTAAAATCGGTATACATGAATTGTGATTGTACCGAAGAGAAGGATTTACGGTTCGCACGTTCTTCTGACCGTTGAAAAATACACGTAATCACTTAAAAATTATAACTTTCATACATTTTTATATTTATTTATATGTATATATTGTACATATGTATGTTATTATCATCACTTTTATGCTATCAACTGTCACTCGTTTTCATGTCTTGAACTGATGGCCCGTACTGTTAATAAAATAAAATAGAATGTGAAAACAAAATTATCCATTGACCAACTTTAAGTAAAACTAATCTTACAGACAGGAATTTTTTAAGGAAAAGCGATAACTAATTAAGAGAGTTGACTTTGAGAAGATTTTAAATTGCACGGTTCACGCCATTTCTAATCCGTCACACTTCTAAAACGTGTTTGTATTAAAACTAGACATTTGGTAATAAATTAAAACTAAAAATTATAAAGTAGTTATAAGGTAGTTCCTTTTTATTGTACTTCATTCAATTTTTTTTAAGTTTAATAAAACGATCTAAAATAGGGGTGTATTGTTTTTATACAATTTTTTATAATATATTTACTCATAAAAATAAATTATGAACGTAATTTCATTTAAAAAAAGAATTCAAAGTTCTAAAATATGTAATTAAGGCATAAGTATGATGAAAACTCAACAGATTGATGCTGTAACCATTAGAATTTTCATTTTTTTTCTAGTGAAGGCTGATAATGACATAAAATGTTATGTGTGCAATAGTCATAATGATACGGACTGTGCTCAAGAAAAACTTCCTGATCATTTCAAAACTGATTGTTCAAAGTTAAACTTAGGTATTTCCGAGGAAAGTCGCAAAAATTATACTCTTTGTAGAAAGATTATACAAACAATCGAGCCGGAGGTCAACGGATGTAAGTAAATTGACAAGCTAGTAAATCAAAACTTATTTCATGAAGGGGATAACCCGCTTAAATGTACATACCTAGTGAAAGAATTAAAAAATCCATCAACACGATGTAATAGAAATAGGGTTAATAGACGCCAAATAACATTTGACATTTACTACATTTGTAACAATTTAACCAATTTTTAAAAGCTTAACATTTTAATAGGTAATATAAATAATTATTTGATACTATTTTATTTTAATTTATTTTTAAATATAAAAATAGAAAGTTATTTATTATTAATTAATATATTATATATATATATATATATATTATGAACTTAAAGCGTATTATGTATTGTAGTAAAATTATTAATAGAATATTTTAAATCAAAATAACCTAGTTGTTTCAAATGAGTCAATAGTCTAAAGTCTAGAATTTACATAAAAATAATAATAATATCAATAATTTGACATTTTTGCCATTATATTACAGAAATATAAATCTTAATAAACAATAAATAGTTTTTTCGTGTAATTTTATTAGAGAATAGATTTTTTTTTACTTCGGTTATAAATGCATACTATTTGAAACATTATTAAAATGTATGAGAATAAAATATCTCAATAAAAACCAATCAATTTCATGAAATTAAAAATGTTTCTGCTTTAAATTACAATCAATTTTTAACTAATTTTAAACATAAAAAACCGAGTGGCTTTACAATACACATTTACTTTGAAATACTAGATGTTTAGTTGTACTATACGATTTGTTCCAAATTAAGTTTTCGTTATTCGTTAATTCTCTTTATGATTGAATAATTTAGTAACCTAATTAGTTAAGCATATTTATGTACATTTAATTCCATACAATACATAATAATAATGTATATGTACATATTGTTTTTAACCTGTATATTAAATATACATTATTACACGAATTAATAATATATGTAATAAAATATATTTATCTGTACTTTATAGACCTTTTTTAGATTATTATAAAGTATGATTAAATGTTATTATATAATCGATAATTATGATCAAACGCCATATAGACATATAAATCAAGTATATATGTATACGATTATATACATAAATACTTAATTAAATATGTAATAATTTTAACTCATAAAAAATGTTTATTTTCCACCTTAACAACTTATTACTGCAAGGACATTAAAATGTATCATAGTAGAAAATAGCTTATATTTCTGCAACTGCATAATATTACATTTTATTGAAAAACGATTATTATTTATCATTTTTAAATACAACTTAAATGCTTCATCATACTATGGAATTCCAAAACATCTGTATGGGTATGACGTTGTTCAAATTATAAAAGGGGGAGTCTAGATCGAGTGCACTGACACTTAGGTAAACTTCATTGTGGCACTGTTACGACGCTCAGACAGTTCGTGATGCTACATAATATAATATTGGTTTTATTACTAAGCCTCTATGTAAGTTTTCAGGCGTTCATCTCTTTGTAATTTAATTTTAACTTTATAACTAAGTGATTTAACTATTTGTAGGTAATATAATTATTAAATTTTTATTGTCATTGAGAGTCAATCAATATAATCAATTGATAAATTAAAGATATTTTGTATTAATGATGAGGTTGAAATTTATCTTGTTAGAAATCCACTTTTATTTGTACATATTATATAAATAACTACTAATTTAATTTATTCTACAAAAAATAATTATATAAATTACGTCTCTAAAGTATCAAAAAATATAAATCCTATTAATATGGAATGAATAGATTCGATATATTTTATGCATACAATAGGTACAATAATGATTATTGACTATATCTTCTAACTAAAAACATTGGTAAAGATAAATTAAAAACACAGGCGCTTATAAAAAATGCATACATGGATTTTTTACTTACAATATATAAGTAGAGTATAAATTTATACATTTGAAAGAAAAAATGTACTTAAAATAATTATTATTTTATTATTATGTGCATTACTATCCATTATTATTGTTACAGTGCCATCGGACCGAAACCGAATCATTAGGTCATGTGGTTGGGATGCTTCAAATTACAATAATAAATGCTATCATAGATCTGGATTTGGTGGTAAGCAAGATGTATGCACTTGTTCAACAGACTATTGTAATTCATCAAAAAGGACATACTTATCATTTGCTATCATGATGATAGCGTCATTGACTATACTTATTTTGTAAAAACGAAAATATTACTCTAGAGAGACAAACAATTATCATTTGTTTACGAATGCAATTATTTTTGAGATGTTAAAATAAGTAAATTTCCTGATATTAACGGCGAAACATTTATTTTAATGAGGAATTAAATTGTAGTATGAAATGTTAAAACGAATATAATTAGGTACCATATATTTACCTATTTTATTAAATTGTATTTTCTAAATAAATGAAATACCTACGATTCTAGTGTAAAAAATAGAATTCTCTATCATAAACCTATATAATAATTATAATTGGTAATAATATAAAAACAGAAGAGCATTTATTTATTGTACTAACATTTGTAATACAATAAATATGTAGGTACAGATTTTGGATTTCAAAGTAATCGTAATATTTATAATCGAAAACAGTTAATATTTCTTACTATTAATTTTAAGTTTTCATTAAAACTTATAACGGATATATTTTTGTTAAATTGGAATTTAATTATATTATGTGTACATAAATATAAATTTTTAGGCATATTGGTATTACTGTTAATAACTTAAAATTTTTTATGGAACAATAATAAAATATACATATTTTATTGCATTAACAACAGTATTATTTACAATAAAATATGTGATAATGCTCTTAACTTATATTATAATATACTATAACTAATTACTTTTTATATTTAACTCATAAAATAAAATAAAATTAATATTACGTAATAATTTATTTTTTAGATCTTTGCAACTTGCGTAAAAAGAATATATAATTGCACTACATTAAATATCCTCATTATAGTATCCATTCAAATGATATATTGTTATTTCATAAATAAATAAATTGCGTTTTTCTTTTTTGTATTTAATACGCCATCATATTGAGCTGTATTTATTTCAGCATATTATTTAAAAAAATTTACTTTAACAGTTTATAAGTAAACTAATTATTCATTACTTTCAAACAAAGACTAAATTTGCACTTTATGTACATCGCGTTTTAAATGATTAGTGTAATAGTACGTGTATTAAAATCAATTACATTAAAATAAAAAATTTAATAACACCAAAGTATTTTAAAATACAGAAGAAAAAAACAATAATAAATACAATAACAATAAAACTATGTGAAAACGCACGTTGGCTAGTCCAAGGTCGGTTAGTGGTAGGTGTACGCAGAATAATTTTTAGAGAGGTGCGTGAGCGTCAGTTAGAACCATTGCAGTCTGCAGACACTAGCCCATTCGTCCTGTAGCACATTAATTATTTTATTTTCACGTATACGATTATTTTTAGTTCTTCCGTGTAAAAAACAAACATTTAATATGAAGTTAATTACATCAATATCGTTGATGTGTCTAATTGCCTTCTTTGGATCATGTAAGTAACAACTTTATTTATTCATTCTACCTATTTATCTAAAGACTTCGATTTTAAAAATAACAAATATATGTTCGTTTTCTTACATAAATATAGTTTTTTTTTTTCTCTTACTTTTTCTTACTATCCTATTTCTTTGATATTATGTATTTTTTTATCTGTACAGTTAGCTTTATGAGAGTTATCATTGAATAAATATATATAATACGCGCCCATGTCGAATTAGGTATATTGTAGTAGATCCTCTTTTTAGTTTTTTTTTTTTTTTAATCGGATGATTACTTGTGTTTTTTTTATTAGAAAAATTATAATCTGTAAAATATGTACTAAAAGGATTTAAGATAACCATTTGTATTTTATTAGTTTGTTTTGGTTGAGACGTAGCCCCACTGAAAAACAATCCAGTTGACATTTACTCCCTTGATTTTAATTTACTATAGCTAATAAATAAATATTTTATTAATATGTATAAAAGTATTGTTCTTTCTATCATTGATTGAATCAGTTTTTTCTCAATTAAAGTGTTACCTTTAACGGTAAAGATAATAATAATATATTTTTACTAGATTGGCAAGTTTCATTTTCGTTACAATAATATCAACAGTGACTTTCACTGATTTTAATCTTACTACATAATACACCATGAGTAAAAAATATTATAAACATTATTGTCCTCGATCGATCTTTATTTTCTCATTAATTGAAAATATTCTAACTAATAAATCCTACACAAACGCTTAAATTTATCAATTTCTTAACATATTTTGTGTTAAATTTTACAATTGCTCATTGTAGTTTTCCATAACGTTATATAACATTGATAATATTTAGATACCGAATTTTGGCATGTTTGAAAAAAAATGATTAGGTTACTCTATCACATATAATTTATTACTTGTAACATAATACACTAATTATAAATTACTGAAACCTCAATTTAAGCATTCATTAATATCCAAATAAAAAACATAAGAGCATTATATTCATTCGATGGTTGAAAAAATTCATCAGTGAACCATATCTCCTTAGGAAAAATACACCTATATTCATAATCTTATGCATTCTAATACTGTAATTGAATCCATGACAGTATCGACAAGGTCTCACAGAAGGTTATAAAAATCCCGTGGTTGATTATTATTAATTTTGTTATTGTTTGTTCCGCTAATTATTACGGTATTCTCGAAGCCTTTATAGCTTATAACATTTTGTTTTTTGCTTCGTTGATATTTCCGGGAACTACATTTTATGGCGTTATTGCTACTTAATCGGCGTGGAGATGATGTACCCATAAAACAATATGCAAATAAAACAATGTCCATATTATATAAATATATAACACAATGACACATGTTAAAAAATTATTGAGTCTAAAATATTAAATAGAGAACATATTGTCAAAAAAAAAATAAAAACGAGAATTTGTTTGATATCATTAGCTAGACCGGTTTGGCAGATGTTATGGTATACAACGGTATAAATATATTGTACCTATCATTAGTTTACACTATAAGCGTTTCCCTTGCAGACAAAAAAATATGCAGCACCGGAGTATATGCGGATATGCAGAAGTTTTAAAAATATTTATAACGAACGGTAATGATCAAAAGTTAGTGAAGATGCGTGAATGAGTAGGTAATAAAGGTATTTGTTAAATTTTTTACAGTTCAATGATCTAAATATTGATCATAATCCCCCGAATGAACAACATTTCCCATATAAGTCAATGACTTTTTTTTCTTAGGCTCAGCAAAAAATAACACCAAAATGATATAGTATAATATACATACATTAATAATTATATACCATGCAATTAGTTTAAAATTAAAATACAGTTTAAACTAATTGCATGGTATGTAATAAAAACAAATTAAAGTTATCATTATAAAATAATATTTATTATTATTGTGATATTAAACTTGTAAATGTCAATATAACTTACTTTATTTAAGTATAAATATCGTATTATATTGATAGGCGCCGACTTTTAGATTTTAGCATGGGGGTACATAAAAAACTTAAACTACTATACATGATGAATATTATTCCATTATTCCAATTCACTTTATTGGCTTCAGTTAAAACTAAAAAAAAAAAAAAAATTGTTTATGAAAATATAATCTTTTTTAACTACATTTATACCATTAAATTTTATTTATAAAAATATTGTCTAAAATTATATTCAATTCAATACAAAATTTTTTTTTTCTTGACGAGCACTTGTTGATAAACATATTTCCTATCTTTCATAAAATTCTAAAACTGTTTTGTGACAATTTAGAACTACCAAATCATTCAACCGGTTCTGTATCATAGTACTTCTTGTTTAATTTTTTAATCTTCTGAACATCAAAAAGAATCTTTTTCACATTATTTAAAAGTGATTGAACTTCAAAGTTAAATCATAGCTGTAAGCTAGAAAGTAAATGATCAATGATTTCATTATATATTTGATTATATTTACATTCAGGTGAAAATGTCAAAATTATATTTTCATAATATTATATAAGCTTTAAATTCTATTATAATAATTAAATAATTTTTACACAGAAAAACAAAATAAAATTTTTACGTTTGACCAACGTTATAACTTAAGTAAGGATGCGATTCCTCCCGTTGCCCTCGTGAAATCGGTGCCTATGATTATAATTAATTAAATTTCCATTGAGTCAACTTAACGAACGGTTTTCCAAACACCAGACGATTTTATCGTCTTTGTATTTATTATTACCAAAGATGTGTTTGAAATCTCCAATTTTAGAATCAGATTTTAGTTTATATTTAGATTTTATAAATGTTGACACATTACCTTCAGAACTAAAATTATGAAAAGAAAATAGATTGCTTTCCGAGATGTAGATCGTCTTCATTCAGCTGTAGAATTATTAAATTATTGTAATCCTAAACTTTTTTCAAATATTTATTTTTTATTAAAAGTACTAACTACAGTACCGGGTTCTATAACAACTCCCGAACGAACTTTTTCAAATTAAAACACGTCAAGACGTTTTTATACAATTCTACAGGACAAGAAAACAAACTGGGCTAGCTTTATTAAGTGTTCATAGAGATGTTACGGTTAATCCCGATAAAATGTTAAACCCGTTTGCTCTTCAAGAAGATAGGAACATATTAATAGTTTAAAATAATATGATTTTTATTTGTGCATTTTTTATTTTTATTTCTTAATTTTATATTTCATATTTGTATAGTGTAAGATGGCAAGATGTCAAAGTAATTTTGTTTATATTTGATTTTATTATATTTTAATAAAAGAAGATTATCTTTATTATCTTTATTATCTTTTTCTGTCTTGTTTTTAACCAAATAACAAAAGTCAAAATCTAAATTCAATAAAATTACAATTTTCGTGTTTTTTACTAAACTCCCCCCACCCGTAAATTTTTTTTATATATGGCTTTGGTCAATTTCTTTAGTAATTCAATGAATATCAACATTAATGCATCTAGATCAGGAGTTCCCAACCCGTGGTACGCGAAGAAATGTTTTGGTATAATTATTTTTATTATTATTTACATTCAATATTATTTGGTTTAATTTATTTGATATTATCTAATTTTATAAATATCGATGAAATTAGGTTTGTAATCATAGCAATTTATTTTTATAATTATTTATTCAGCCTGATATTTATGTTCTTGCACAAAATAAACAACAACAAATAGCATATTACATTTAAAAAATATAATTGTTATTTTAATATTAAGATTTAACTAAAAATTAAGATTTTTTTTACTTTCATAAAATTTAAATAATAAAAAATATTAATAAATTAATGAGTTTAATTTCTGATATCAATATTATTATAATATCTAACTTTGTTCAACTGCCCCCTAAAACAAACGTCTACCCACAGAATATGCAAGCGTACAATCTGCATATCCCGTGTACACACCTATCCTTATAGTACAGTTTAAAGTTATTAGTTGTATCATAAATAAATGTTAAAAATTATGGTACATTTCTTTCTTTTCCGTTAAGAGCTCAGGGATTTCAATATTATAATTTACTATTGAAGAATAATTATTCATTCTTATTAATTTTAAAAATATATACATACATATAGATATTAGTTGTATATATTTGATTTTATATTTCATTAAAATAGTTAGTTCGCGAAATGTGAGAATTAAATTGTAAAGATTATATTTACTGACCTGTCACTAATACTTCTCTCTTTCTCATTCATCGCATTTTACATAGCATAGAAAAACACAGGGATGAAAATGTATCAGAATATTCATATATAATATTTGAAAAAAAATCAGATTTCTAACGCCAAATCGATTATCAAGACGCGGTTTTGACATCAAGTCAAAGCATTATATAAATTTTTTTGTTTTTTAAATATTTCATTAAAAATCTAAACTCTAAATTGAAATTACTATACTAATAATCAATATAATATGTAAATATAATCAGTGTTTGGAAAGAATGTCGTTTATGAATGCAAGTTCACGTTCATATTTTGTGAACGATACGCGAACGTCAATCCCTTTTTTTAACTAGAACATGAACGATGTTCATACTTTTAGTGAATATAAATGCTTTTGGGGCATTCAAATTTATTACCATTTAAAAAAAAATATATATATATAAATAATATATATTGATTATAATATGTTTAAGGATAAATTTTAAACATAAATTATACCTAATACATTTTGTAAAGGTCCCATTTATACAGGATGCAGGTAGATGATATATAAATATAAGATTAAAAAATTTAAATGAACGACAAAATCAACACGTTCATTTTTCCACAAATCTTGAACGTGAACATGAACGTTATAACGGAAATATAATACAGAATCCTGATATAAAAATCATTTATATTTTTATATTAAAAACAATAATATTTTTGTTTAATAAAAATGTTAAAAATAATAAATCAATAATTTTCATTTGTTATGACATGATCCTGGAAAAATAAATTAAAAATTCTTAAAACACAATTTCTATTATTTTAAATTTAATTTCCAGTACTTTTTTAAACTGAATTATTAATTTTTATAACACCTGAAATTTAGGTTTGTCAAGGAACTCTTGTGTTTACTTTTTTGAACTAACGAACAACCAATTGTGTTTTTACTTATGTAAACATAATATGCACCATTGTATTTATATACCGACTTATGGCTATATAAGCATAAGCAAAAAAAAAAACATTTATGTAAATCATATAAGTACTTATTATTACTTGATATTTACATTTACAGTTAGCTTTTGTTCGTTTAAAATAACAATTAAGAAAATTCTGTTTTTCGTGAGATTTATGTAATTGTAAATTATTTTATTAGTGTTATTAATTGTAGAGATCATTGATCAATTTTTATGTGATTTTAACATATACTATAAGTACTATATATAATTACATGTGTAATCTGAATATCGGGCTATATGGAAATTTTACCACTACTAACACAGATCACATTTAAAAGGTTAATGCAATCTTTGGTTCTACGAATAATAATTCAATAACTCTATAATTTGTATGATGGGTATTTAGTCAAATATGAATAATATAATAATATAATATGTGTTAAATATTTTGTGGCAAATAATTGTAAATAATAGAAAATAATAAAAATAATAAAATGAATTGGATTTTTGTGTACATATTTAAAACTATGAACGTACTTAATATTAAGACAATAAGAATTAGTATGACAGTGATAACTGATAATGATTAATTTACAATAGTTGTAATTAAAACAATTTTGTAAGATATTAATATAACATTATGTATATCAATCCTGTCTATATATCCGTACATTTATGTAAAAAAATTATTAATGCTTGTTGCACATAAAATGTAACATGTCAAAACTAGGGGAAGGGACTGTTGAGTATTATTTACATTTTAAAACGAGCCCATAGAACTGTAGAAACAATTTCTCTAAATTGCAAAACTCGAGTAAGATCCATAATACAAGTTTTAGCTTTGTCAAATTGTATAATATCATATCCATTGTCGAATAAATTACGTTCCTACTTCAGGTGTATTGTAGTATTATTCGTACAACGATTACTACATATATGTATATCGTATTTTTTGTATTTATAGTTGGAAACCTTGAAATGCTATAATTATGTACTTATATGTTAATATACAAAAAAAAGTAATAATTAGTCATTATTCGTAAACTTAAATAATACAACGTAAACAATTCTTTAAATGGCTCAAATTATACAATGATATTTACCTATTATAGTTCTATGTTTGACATTTAACCTTTAAATTTTACAATGTTTCAAATTTTAAATATAATGCTATTTATAATCAGCAGTAATATAATTTTCACTTAAAATCATTTTTAAAGTGCAGAGATATAATTTGTATATGTTATATTCGGATCTCACAGGATTTATTACTTTTTATGTTATATTAATTTATTTAATAATAATAACTATAGTGTAAAATATATTCACCAATAACAGAACGATTAACAATTTTCTTTTTAATATATACAAATTGTATTGGTCTACTCACTAAATTCCATAACTGTGATGTGAGTAGGAGTTCTAATTATATAATATCTATGTAAATTACTACAATTTTTTTTTTTTTTTGTTTACAGGCCATGAAGGCCTTTTGCCATTTTTACTACTTCCCCTCAACTACTACTATCCTAAAAAAAAAAAATGTAATTACCAATTAACATAAAAATAATAATCATAATTAATAACAAAAAAATGTAGTAAAATAATATAGTAAATGTTTTAATTATACAGTACAGAAAAATCATACAAGGATTAATACAATAATTCTATTATTTCAAAGTATAAGTGACTAATGGTGAACGCTATCTGTTAGCATAAAAAATAAGCTATTATATGTCTAAACACGATCAGTAGACAGCGTCAGATTTTTATCCACTTGAAAATATATTTTTGATAGTTAAACTTGAGTGAGAGACCAAAGTGTACAAAAATGTGATATTGAGATGTTGTATGTGTTGATTAAATTCTGTATTTTATTATGTCAAAAATTATATCAGTAGCTCTATTATCAAAGATTATTTAGCGATAAATAATATAACTACTACATATTTGGAAGGACAAATTATTTAATCATATTTTAACACATATGTAAGTCAAAATCGCAACATAATTCTGACCACAATGTTTCTGTTCGCCATTCAGAAACATCCAACACTTCAAATAATTGATTAGAAATTTCTTACTCATCAATACTCATTTCAAGTATAACTCGGATCATTCTATAGTAGAAAAAACAAAAATTATAATATAATTATAATTATAAGACTGTAAAATTGCCTAACACGTTGACTATTATTATTTTTTGAAAAATAAAATATCGTTAAAAGTATTTGAAATTAAATATTTAAAATGTCAGCACTTTTATCTAGTACTCGAGTTAAGATAAATTCAGATGAGGATAAATAAAAAATTAATTAGGTGAAAATTATTTGGTTGAGGTATAATAAAATTTAAAGTATTATTAAATTCAAGAATACTCGAAACTAGAGCGCTATTCACAAAATTAGTCATTCATAAAATAATAGCTAAAATAGGAGTTGGAAATGAACCAACTAATACATAATAAATAATATTATAAATATTTCTTCAGACTTATAATAAACCTAGGTCTGTCGAACCAGAAAAAAAGATTCCTTAAATTTATTACCTTTAATCAAACCAATATACCGCCTTTTTAATCATATAGGTACTAAAGACAAAGTTCAAACACATTTTTATAGATAATAATCATTAATCAAACGATAAATTAGTTTTAATAATTATTAATTATGTAAAGACTCGTTATGATACCAAAATACTTATTAAGATAAACAAGCTATTATGGTAATACTTCATATTATTTTCATTTAGTATTACTTGTACTTTATAATTTTAATTTTTTTTTTCCAATCAGGCGATGGTTTAAAATGCTACACTTGTGGTTGGTGGAGTAAAAATTGTGGTGATCCATTTATGAAGGATGATTATCTATTAGTTGAATGTAACACTCGAGCAATTAACGAATTCAACCGCGAACTAGGAAATACTATAAACACAGCAAGTAATGCACTACAAAATTTCGCAAATCAAGTGGGATTCAATATGAATCAAAACAACAATTTCAATTTACCTACCATTAGTGATGATTCAGTTGGATGTACTAAAGTAGTACTCAAACGTATGTATTATTGTTTCTAATTGGATAACAAATAATCTTAATCTTCAAGGATTTGGAATAATTAAGTTTAATAATAATATATTTACAAATTAGAAATGTCTATGATTCTACTTAACTTATTATAGAATTCCATCGTTATTGTATTTAAAATAAAATATGGTGATTTTAATAAAATAAAATATATTTTAATGGACTTTATTTTAATATAATTAAGAATTAAAAATATATTTTATAAACGTCTACTTAATAATTGCTTTGAGATTTTAATGCTAAAGTCTACATATCCATTTTACTATTCTTATATATAATTTGTAATTGTACTCTATATTATCACTCATTCGGTGTTGTATAAGTAAAAATAAATATTTCATTACAATTATCATATTAACTGTTAATTAATAACGAATTTATGACACATTTCTGTTGATGGTATTATAGATGGAGAAGACATTGTACGAGTGGCCCGAGGATGTGTTTATATTAAAGCAGATTTGTGTAAGGGAATGCAGAGGCTCGACGATGAGTTGAAAACCCTGAAATACTGCGGCACATGTGATGATGACGGATGCAATGGTTCTCGAGCGTTGGAGTCTTCCACGATTGCAATAATATTGACCACAGTGGCTACGTGTCTATTTTACAGAATACATTAAAAAACCTAAAAATATTTTACTAGCTATTTGTATTATCATTAAGTCAATAAGTGTACCTGATATTTTGTTATTGCCCTATTCAACTACAAATGGAAATATTTTCTTTATTTTCTTTATCATTTTTTATGTTATATAGTTCTAAAGAATACATTTACATATATTTAAATATAATTATGATGTTCTTTTTTCTTCACAAAATCATATTTTGGAAAGTTCTATGGCCTGCTTTTTTGCTATTGGCTGCAAGATATTTAATGTTATAAAAGTTTCAATGTTAATTTTTACAATACTATTATTTTTATTATGAATATTAAAATAAGCATACTATAATATTTTAAAGTTTCTAAAAACAGAATATTATGTTTCATGTAAACCAAAAAAATTATTTCCTTGCATATGAAAGTTTTTTTTTATTATTATAAGTTAAATTAAATCAATACTGTTACCTATATTTTTTTTCAATTATCAATGCATACTTAATTTATAGTACCTACATGTATCTGTAAACAATAAAAAAAATAAAGGTTATTATTTAATTTTTAATTTACCTACATGATAACTGTATAATTGGTTCCGTTATCAAATTAATTAAATAAGAATAATTTTATTCAACTATATTAGTGACTTTGTTGTTGTCTACAATTTTATTGAGATATTAAGTTACAATTAAATTTGTATAGTTTTCCGTCAAATGTATTATAATTTATAATTAAATATGGTATTTTGGCGAAGCATGTGAAAAAATATTGAAATTATTACAGATAAATTAATGATTTCCATTTTTTTTTTAAATATCCAAGGTTCTAATAAGTTCTAAATTACTTACTTACATTGTACATAAAAATTATTTTTGGATTCCATAACTACAAGAATTTTTAATAATATCACTATTTTCTCCCATTTTTCTAGTCTTTCATTTTTATTTTTTTCCAAATCCTTCTTAAACATGTCTAACTATCTTTGAAGGTCACTCTCGAGATAAATTTCTTCTCTTTTGATTACCACTTCTCAATCACTTTGATAATACTAACGATGCTTCTATGCATTAAAAGTTCAAACAACAACAGAGACACGGAAACATGTCATGAAATGAAATTAAATGGAAAAATGGTCATACTAGCTTACGCAGACGACATTATAATTCTACGAGATAACAAAAGCGAAATAATAAGAACCACAGAAAGTTTAATTAATTCTAGTAAAATGATGAGTCTCAGTATAAATGAAGACAAAACCAAATACCTAATAATGTCCAGAAAAGTGGTAAACACATCTAACTTTAAAGTGGGACTATATTGTTTTGAGCAGGTAGATAATTTTAAATACCTGAGAATTAATATCAATGAGAAGAACAGTGGTTAAAGTGGGGAAAATGTTGTGGGGGAACGATATTAATCAAAAATTGAGGAGCGTTCCCCTTCCTAATTTTAAATCTTACCAACCTTAGGAAACCCATAAGGTCTAAGCCTGTTTTATTACACATATATGTTCATAAAAGTTTTATTTTCATAGGGAGTAAAAACAAATTTCCCCCAAAGAAAAATAATTCTATACATATGCCTGCTCAAAATAAAATAAATTGAAGTACATAGTAGGTAATGTTTAAAAAACTTAACTCAAACTTAACAAAACTAAAAAGAAACAATTATAAACCTTGATAGTTGTTGGTCAACGTAGACAGTAACAAATTCGTACATTGCACATAAGATGTATATTGTCTATATTATAAGATAGTGTCTATCCTCTATCATAATTTAATATTTATACTATTTATAGTTATTCTATTCTATTTATATTTATTCTAAATAATAATCGATATCATTATCACTTTAATTTTAGAGTTATAGGTAATAACCGCTCGAGGATCATCTATAATTAGACACAGCGTCAATTAAATTAACCCATGGTGTACATTATCTACCATTTTTACTTATCGTTATACCTAAATATTATTTCTCCGAAATTTTTTCCACTTGTTCAAATAAATGAAGAAAATAAATTTCATGTAATATTGTAATATTATAATAAGTATTGTATATTCAATATTGTATTTTAGTGACCAATGCCATTAAACGTCCATCCGGAATTTTGGCGACTTAAATTAAAGAGGACGCATATACTTACTTATAAAAAGAAGGAAAAACGTGGACATAGAAAAGATGTACAACAAATCAAATATTGGAAAATATTTCAAGGCAAAACGCCTGGAGTGGGCGAGCTGACGAAAGCCTTATTCATAATGTTTTAACTAAGTAAATCAACAAAAAATGACCAAGTGACCCCGTAAACGATGGATAGATATAATAGTTAAAAACATTAAAGAAATAGATGAGGAAATAACGATGAAAATGGCAAGAGATCGTGAAGATGGAAAGACTTGGTAGAAGCGTGCAAAAGGCCTGTTGAGCACAAACAAATAAAATAACCAACTAGACACTACTGAAGTAAAGTAGTTGACATAAACAATGATAAATAATAATAGATAACAAATTTAATAATATCATCTTTATTAATTCAATGGCTCAACGAACTTATGACCAGTAACGCAATTAATAAAATATAACATCATGAGTAATTGAGGAGTTTTATAATTAAAAAGAGAAAATATGTACATATTTGAAATCCACCACAAATGAATAACACTTAGAAATCATATAAACACCAGAATACATGCATTTCATTTTCAAACTAACTTTTCGATTAAACCTTCATATACATATTTGTTCGATAAATGTTCATCATAATTATATCATATACTTAATATAATTAAATAGCTTGTATGTATAAATAAATAGTTTAAGTTTAATAATTAATTAAATTAGTAATTAAGTTGGTGAGATTAACTATTCTTAAAATACATAGTACATGTTTTTACAACGATAGCGTAAGAGTATTTCCTTTAAGACGGAATAATATTTAATTCTAGAGGATTAAAATAAATATTCAAACTTTATTTAATTTCACAAAATATTCTGAACAATTCTCATTGTTTAACAATTCCATTGATAACGAAAATGCTTTTGATTATGAAAAATATATATACAAGTAGAATTATTCTTCGTAGGATATAAATTGAACCAAACACGTGATACAGTGGTCAACAACGGAAGGACAGAGTACAAATTAATGTGGCTGTGGTCAAGGATTTTTAACCATGACTGTGCTATTCTTAAACAATAAAAAATGAGCTTATAAGAACAATTACTGTATGAGTCATATCGAATTTGAAGTTTGTGGTTTTTATATTTAATTGTTTTCTTGATGAACAGTTTTTAAAATTAAAAATTATAAAATTGTATTAGTTTTAATTGACAAAATGTAATAATATTTTTTTTAATTACTCTTGTTAAAAAAATGTAAGTACTTTATTCATAAAAATGATAAATATTAAACGAGATGGTCAAGCATATTAAGAAATACATATCAGCTTTATAATATATTAATTATAAGTACCTTCATGATGATATAGAACTTAGACGTGCTTAAAATATTTCACAGATCTTCTTCAATCAGTGGCGTCCCTAAATCCTTTTGTAGTGGTGGGAGAGGGCAAATTTTATACATGTTTTCACATTTATGCATTTTCTTAGTGTGATATAAATAATAAATAACAACAATTTGAAGAAAAAAAGGCCACTAGGGGAGGTTACCAAGGCTTACTGAGGGAAAAGTATTTTATTAATATTACAGCATAGATTAAAATACTAAATATATTATTACATATGTAATTTTTTTTAAATTTAATTTACGTTATACAAATACTCTATTTCTATACTTTGCTTCGTTGTCGAACTATAAACATCTTATTGTATATAATTTTCGTCTTAAGTTATTTAATTTAAATAGGTAAAATAATGGTATACTTTATATTTATATGAATATATGTTCAAATATTATTAAATATCAGCATAATGTATATTGGTTAAAATTTAAATACAAATGATCCAATTTAAAAGTATAAATGTAATAAATAATAGTAAATACTGAATTTGTCACATTTTAAAATGAGTGGGTCGTTTTTATTGCTAATCAATTGTGTATTTCACACTCCCACTTTTTATAAACCATTCATCATTTTGCTGACTAATTAGTTTCGATCTAAGAAATATTAACTGTTTATTAATACTTTAACGATAATAAATAATAACTTAAGCCTATACTTTAATTAGTTTTGTATTATGTACTAACTACAGTATCAAAACTTTATTAAAAATGTTAAATTAAAATCTTAAACGTTAAATACCTATATATATATATATATATATATTACGGTAAGCATAAGAGAGTTATATAAAAGGTTTTAGATTTTTCAATCTTAACCAATTCCTCTATTTTTATAATTATGATGCTGCTAAAATACTCATTAAAAAAATCAATTGTGCTAAATTTATCATGATAACTATTAGATATTCTAAAATCATTAACTAAAATGCAAGCACACCAAAGATCAAATGGTTTTTTTTTTTCATTAAAATATCATGACTCACATCCGGTGTTCAGAAAACTAGGCTTCTAGAGATGTGTGAAAACATGACAATAATAAATAAAAAATATTTGTCATGGATCACCAGTCACATCCAAGTCATCACGTCCGTCAACCAAACAGGACAAGGAGAAGAAAAACGACTGAAACAATGAACCAATTAAAGAACAGAACTATTTATATAGTACTTGTATACAAGCAATGTCTCTTTTTAACTTATTTTAAATGAACTGACATTTTACAACGAGAATAGTCAATAATTTTTGTGTTATGCTTTTATATATTTTCAAATAACTCAATAAATTAAAAAATATTAATATAATTTGAATAAAAACAACATTTGTTATCTTTTTCTAGTTTTTTTTTTAAATAAACAAATATTTTTTATTTTTCATTTATTTCATTTCTAGTTTTAAAAAAAACTATAGATAAATTAAAATTATAAATTATATTATCTTAATTATTATCTTACTACTAATTTATTAATCATTATTGTTGAGTTGTACGCTATCTTGCCTATAAGTGATGCGATATCATGAAATCGTTGTAAAATATATAGATATTTTATTGAACAAATTTTTCACTATATAGTGACTGAATACTAATTACCTAACCTGATAATTTATTATTATTATAATTTATACAGTAATGTATGCAGAATTTTTCAATGGGGGAGGGGGCTTAAAAATAAATATTTACATTTCGTTTATAAAAATAAAATACATATATATTTTTATACTGCTGTTATAATACTTATACAGTTTACATCA